ATAATGAACATACTCTTGCGATTGGTCACATTGATTGCACATAAACAATCTGTTGTTATTGGAAGAATAAGGGGTCAAACAGATTGAAAAAAATAAAAGTGAATTAAGGAATGTGATTGATTTTTACACGTAGCAACACCAATCACATTCCTCAATTCACTTTTAATTTGTCTAGTCTGTTTGGCCCCTAAACCAGTTTCGATTGGCAAAAAATAATAAAATTTTAAAAAAATATTTTTTTTTATATCATGATTTATACTTATCATAACTTGAATCTTTTTCGACTTAAATTTGAAAATAAACTACAATTCTATACTTTAGATCCATTTTTAAATTCAAATCACCAGAAATTATACTTAAAATAAAATAAAATTCTCATATAAAGATATTAAAATTATTTTTTCAATAAAATTAATCTTAGTTGTTTTCTCAGTCGATAAATTTCACAAGACATAAATTGGCAACTCTCGTTAAAACGTAAACAGTTGTTTTCCGGAGTCGACTCTCCCCAACGAAATCACCGAGGAGTCCCCTGAAAAATACGAAATTCCTGGGGAATCCCTGTCGTGAGTCCCCGAGGTAGAGAGCTGCACCGGGTTTTCTGGACCCGGTCAAAGAATCATGAGCTATTCTATCGTATCGAATATTGAATCATTATTTGAACATGCATTTTGTAGATACATGTTTGCTCCTTCAATCTATGTAATCAGAAGTATACAACCACCTTTCATAACGAAGATTTTTTAAATTAATAGGTGCGAATCTAGACCCGGCTTGGACCCGGACCTATTAATTTAAAAAATCGTGGTTATGAAAGGTGGTTGTATACTTCTGATTGCATAGATTGAAAGAGCAAACATGTATCTACAAAATGCATGTTCAAATAATGATTCAATATTCGATACGATAGAATGGCTTATGATTCTTTGACCGGGTCCAGAAAACCCGGTGCAGCTCTCTATCGCTGGGTGCAAAATTGTTGGATTCGAAACCAATTCAACAGGCTCTAGACCTTATTCATATACATAGTTCAACAATGTAAATGCGTGGTTTTCCTTTATTTTTTTTTGATTTAGAAAAAATGAAATAATATCAATCCAACAAATTAAAAGATGTAGATACTTGAATTCTATGATAAAAGAATATTCTAATACTAACGTATCATTTGTAATTGCTTGTTAACTTTTTTCACTATAAGAATACAAAACAAAATAATTAAAATAAATAATGCAAATAAAATGGTACAAACGTCATTGGTTGTGAATGTTTTCCATTAATAATAAGTAAATCAAACCAAGTTTTTGAACTTGATCGAATATCAATAACAGTATCTGATCCACACCTTTAAATAAAAGTTTATATTGAAAAATTTTATTTCTTTTTTCTTTCTAGAATTTCTATTTTACCAAGCAATATCAGTAATTTTATTTTTATCATTATTATTTGTATATTTTAATGTAACTGCTTGTGATTGTCCAAGATTTTCTTTTAATCCAATTAATACATCACCATTATCTTTTAACATAGCAATACTTTTATTATTACTACTTGAAATTAATTTAACAATTGTATCAGTAATACCAGGAATTGTTTGCTAGGAAAAAATAAAATAAAAAAAAACTTTCAGAAAAATAAATTATTTTTAATACTGAATCTCGTCGTGATGATATAGCATTACATGTTACTATAATATTTTCATAAGCATAAGCAAGTGTTATATCAGCATGATCAATTACACACCATGCTGATATTACTGAACGAGGATCCAAATCTATAAATAAAGTTATGATTTGAACAAAAAAAAATCGTTGACTAAGAAATATTTACTAAGTGATATTGTTTGAATAATTGGAAGATAAACATTTTTTACAGCTACAAAACCATCTTGATTTTTTCTCAATGCTACTAATCCTGTTCCAGCATTTGTTTTGAATGTACATGCACTACTTATTGTTGATACAGACTAAATTTAAGAAAAAAAAACTAATTGATCACGCGTAGTTATCTTAGAATATTCTGAATACATAGGAATGTGCAGTTTTAGTCCCTATGAATATATGCTCATATTTCTAGCAGAAGGAGCTGAAAGAAAAACAAAACGTTTGAATTTTTCAATGATGTTTTAATCCTTATATCATGATTAATCGGGTAGTAACTTGGTCCCTGCGTGAGACCTGTGCGAATTCCAGTTTGTTACAATAGCAATGACAAAATTAAATTATTTGAAACTTTTACTATCAATAGAGACATTTTAGACCTATTATCAAGAAAAATTTCCATTGATTTTCGTTTCACTTGAATGCAACTATTCAGAAAATACGGATCGTTACCGGATTTCATCCTTGTTCTGAAAATCGTAGTTTGGATAAGGATAAAAGCAATCAGATATTTGTCACCAACAACAGAATCTGTATCAAATGGTGAAATTCAACGAAAAAGAAAAATTTCAACTTTTTCGTTCCAAGAGAAAGAGTTTTGATTAAATAAATATTCCAGACTTTAATACTAATTCAAAATATGTGCATACTTATGCATAAAAACAGTACAAAACGCTTCATGGTTTTAAAACACTACACAATTCGAATACTAATGCAATATTCCTAGAAAACGGCCGCCCATATTCAATCGTCGTTTTTATTGCGAAAATTAGTCATTAAGTGAGTTTGGTTATGAAATGTCGTCAAAAAATAGAGATGGTTTTTATTTGACAATATATTCCACTACACAGTCTAAGAAAGACTTTGCGTGTCTAGAACGCTCAATGTTACTCAGGAATAGTAACGCTTTCATTTAAAATACTATCGTTCGTTCTCTTTTAAATCGTAGACTCATGAGGAAACACTCCCAAGTGATTCACTCCGTTAACCTTCATATTTTATCCATATATATATGGCCTATTGTAGTAAGAAAAACTCTAAGAGAATTTGTGTCCTTGTTGTTTCTTTCGAAAGTTATGATCGTTTTATTGATTTTTCGAGTCATTAACCGAGTTCACTTGAAAAATCAATATCTCGAGATAGGAACATTCTTATTAGCTGAAACTTTCAGGATATTTTAAGAATCGGTAGACCTATCTATGGACAAAATTTCAGGTAGAAAATCTCAAATTTGATTTGTTTTCGGTAAACACCTACAAATGGATCGAAAATCAGTAAAACACTCATAACTTTCGAAAGAAGCAACAAGGACACAAATGGACCAACTACGAAGACAAACGAAGCGGATCACTTGAGAATCTTCCCTCGTTAGCTTTCTACACTTTTAAGTTCGAACTCTTCCTATATGACAGTGACCGATGACTGGCCATATTGATTTATTAAATCTTTTTTTTCTTATTATTCTCTATTTTCAAAATACTTGCAACTATGTATTACAAATTCAACGTTCTCGTGCACTTTGGACTACTATACTGACTCTGATAAACTGTTGTTATCAGTATACTCTACTACTCTTCGCACAGACAAGGGCGAAGTTCGATCTCTTGTTATGTTTCTATAGTATTAAAATCACACTAACTGGTGTCTGCACGATGACATGAGGATTAACTAATAGAATGATTATTAATTCGAATTTTATTTTAAAATATTTTTAAACTCATCAAAATTGAACGATAATCAAATTGAAATTTCCCAACAGAAAAAAAAAATCATGTAATGAAAACGTATGGATTATTTGTCATCATTGCATCATTGATTATTTTTCTGTTACTCTGATTTTTTTTTAGAAGAATAAATCCTGATAAACATATTTTCATTTTTTTTCAAAACATTGAAATTTAATTATCATTTTGACTACAAACAGTGAATAATTAATTTATACATATAATTATCCTAAATTTCAAAAGATTTAAATCTGCCAATGCCGCAACAGTATTTTTGAAACATCTCCCATACCGCTGTGATGAACTCGTCATATTCGCTTAAGTTATTACATAATAATAATTACCTCACTAAGTGTAATTGATTTATCATTACTTGTATTATAATGAAATATATCCATAATATAATATTTACCATCTTCAGTTACCAATAATAAATCTTCATTAATTGTCCAATCAACAAGTATAAGAATACCTCGATCAAACTAGAATATTAATTAAAACAAAATAATGATTTTAAATAATATATATATTTTTTGCTAACTTCTTTTAATTTCCCATTATGTTTGGGTAAATTTTGTATAATCATTGTATATTTAACATCATTTGATCCTGTTCCTGGTCTTTTATATACAAAAGCTAAATATTTATATGCATGTGAGTTTTTTTTTTGTTTTTTCTTACAATCATATGAATTCAAAACTAATTAATATTGACCAATAGGTCCTCCACATGGAGCCATAGCAACAAATGGTTTAATTGTTGCACCAGTTGAACTACTAGGATCTCGAAATTTAGATGAATAATCAGCTATTGTACGTGTTCCTGTTTTCCTGCAAAATGAAAATAAAAAAAACAAAGCTTACAAGAGAATCTTTTCAATTTTCTATCGTGAAATATTCATATATAAAATTAAAACTTGTCTCATATATAGAATTCTAATAAAAAAAAAAGACTTTCATACTTATATGTAATATCATCAAAAACACGCCACGAAGCAGTAGTATTTGCCATTTGTTCATTCATCTAGAAATATACAATACAACATTAAACAAATAAAAAAAAAAACAAAACAACAATGATGACTATGGACTAGAAATTCAAAGAAAAATAAATGAAATCTAATTGATATTATTTATCGTTTTTGTGATTTAGCTAATTCTTTTATTTGTTGTTCAACTAATTTATAAAATAATGAAGGATCTTCTTTCCATTCATTAAGTAATATTGGTCGATGAGGTTCATCAACATCTTCTAAATGTGTTATATAATAATCAGTTTTCATAAGTATTTTTATTTTAAGCAGCCATGACCGGTTTCGACCGTTGCTTAAGGGTCTCATCAGATGACTTTTTATATTCGGACATGTAGAACATATACCTTTCTATTGAAACTAGAAACAAATCTAGTTCAATATAAGTGTTCTACTACTTATTCATATATGAATTGAGTAATAGAACACTTATATTGAACTAGATTTGTTTCTAGTTTCAATAGAAAGGTACATGTCATACATGTCCCTATATAAAAAGTCATCTGATCAGACCCTTAAGCAAGGTCGAAACTGGTCATGACTGCTTAAAACAAAAATGATTCTAGAACAATAATATAACCTTATTCAAATAATAGATCACCATTTTATCTTCAATGACATAAACAATTTTTGGATGGATATTGTCGAAAAGATAATATTTTATAAAATTGATCGAAACATTTCAATATTTTAAACGTAAACGATAAATTCAATCATATTTTAAAGAACATCGTTCAGCTGTGGTATCATCTATTAACAAATCAGGCTCATCTAGATCTTTTTATTTTATTTGGTCAACATATACAACGATTATGAAAAACTATTAAAAACACTTCGATCATTAGTATATTTTTAATTTTTAAATTTAAATTTTTTTTTTAGAATGATTATCGACTTCTTTATAAATATTGACCAAGATTAATTGAAAAATTACTTGAAAATCTAATATCTCTTTGGAAAAACGAAATATAATGAACATTTGTTAAGCTAAAGAATTCTAACCAGGAATTATTGATTATTCAAGAGCATATACAACAATAAAAAATATTTTATTTTCTTTATTTTGAGGGCAAAACTCTATTAGATTTTCTTTAATATTGTTTATCGAGAGGGTCTTTTGATAAATCAATTGATAATAATTATCTTTTTTCGGACGTATCTCAAATATTTCATCTAGTCAAATAATGGCTTATTTTACAAATATTAAATATCCATGAACGAACCTGTTGATAGACCTTTAGAAGTTCGAAATAGAGTCTCAAATAGAATAATATTGAACAAGCAAATAGGATCCATTCTTTGAGTTAATACTGGGACGTCTAACAGCGTTATAGAATTCGAATTGATAATTTATTTCGAATATATTGAGTAACGTTTATTGAAAAGTGAGAGTGATTTCATATTGAAACAAAACGACTAAATAAATTAATATAGAATATTTTAATCATTATTTGTTTAAGTAAACAAAGATTAGAAAAATAGCTCATTTGACAATAAAAAATTCTCTTTCGATCTTCATTCTATATATTTGATTTTGTTTTTGTTCTTCAAGAATATGTCAGGATGTCAAGCATGATAGAGCTCTTTTTCTTTTATATTATTAGTTTTTAAATCGAGAAAAGAGATGAAAACGTTCAATCTCCCGACAAAACTTTCAAAAAATAATCATCTATTTACAGAAAACGAAAAAAACCAACCGATACGTTCTTTCGAATATTCTGAGTAACTTGTTCTAATTATAGGAAGAGAAATCTTAAACGAGAATCTACTTTATCATCAATTATTTACTGATTTATATTAAATTGATTGACTTTTAAAAGTTATTTGTTATTTCAATTTAGCTAAATATCGTAGACGATCTATTGAAACAATTTATTTAAATGTAACATGTTCATTATGTGACAGAACGCATTTATGTTAGAATCTCAACAAAAGATTTTATATATTTGCGTTTTGGTCATTATTTTCATGGTGATTGTTTATTTCTATATTGACGACATTTAATCAAATGTAAAGATGAACGTTATTTAGATTAAAAAAAAATCGTTCATAAACATTAACTAAAAGTGGAGAAGGAAATGAAGGAAATAAACAATAATTAGATAAATCTTGAAAAACAAATCAAATAGAAATATATATTTATACTGTTAATCGTTTCGAATCAATAATAGCTAGTCGAATAGCACCACCATCGACCTTATATGGAAAGTCTAGAACTAGAACTTGATCATCTTCTTCCTTGATAATGTCTATTATGTCGTGAAACAGATGGTCATTATTTCGATCAACCACTTTAAGAAATTTTATTATTTATTCCATTTACTTATAGTCACTGATTTAATTGATTGATTTCGATTTTAAACGATTTTTTTTATATACGAATAAATTCTATTTGATGGATTTTTCAAGCATTTATTCTTAATTTCAATAAAAGAAGAACTAGATGTTTTTTTTTTCTTATAAAGTATTGATCTAATATTTTTCTAATGTTAAAGTGTACGTGGGCTTTTATTGAGTAATTTAATAAGATTTTTCAATATTGTAACGAATGATTATGAAATAAAGTAAATGATAATTTATAAAATGTCGAATGCATGATCAAAATGTGAAAATTGTACTATTTAACAAAAATGAGACATTGACAATTTGTTATGATAACTAATGTGTTGAAGTAAATCTAGGAAACGAAAACAAGAAGAAGAGAGATTGTTATATTTGAACGAATCGCACGACTTAACAAGTATAATATAGTGAGATATTTTCAAATAGATCTTCCAGTTTTTTTTTTCTATTTCGATATAGTTTTCTTCTAAATCAACTCATTTCGAACTTGGTAAATCAAGTAAAACAATTCTTATATAGATGACTGAACAGAATGACAAATATAATACCAAATGAAAAAATCTTCATATTGACCAAGTAAAATGAGATAATCTATTGAAGAAATTAAAATTGTCCATTATGATAACGAAAATTGGTTGAAGAATAATGTGCAAATTTAATAAAACTTATAGATCAAGCTTCATGGTGATACAACGGCAGGTTTTTCTAAGTCCCATGTCCTTGCAATATTGTAGTCACTACTGATTGCTAGTGACCCTAGAAAAATCACTCTGGATCTGAATCAAATAGCGGAGAACGAAGGTCCACATGGTTACCTCTATAGGGCTTTTCCCAATATTTTGGGAACTATGTATTTCAAGGTGATACCACGGCAGGTTTTTCTGAGTCTTATGTCCTTGCAATATTGTAGTCTCTACTGATTACTAGTGACCCTAGAAAAATCACTCTAGGTCTGAATCAAATAATGGAGAACGAAGGTCCACAAGGTTACCCCTATACGCCATTTTTACGTATATTTAGGGTCTATGTTCTTCATGGATTGAAGTAAAGGAAAAGTTCAACGGATCAAGCTGAAATTTTCAGCAATGACTACTAACATGAAGTTGAGCATTTGCTGGAAGTTTCAGGAAATTCCACCTTCACTTTCTAATTGGGCCGAAATACACCTAAAACGTCCCCCGTCCTTTCCTACTTATATTGAACGAAACTTACATACATACGTCTTCAACTTGTAATGATAGTAGAGATTGACGAATTCTAAACAAATTGGAGTTTATATTGTTTTTTTTTTGCGCTTACAAATCAATTATAATGGCTTTATTTTCATCTCATTTAAATCTAATTTTTCATTAACATAATGATTAAAATCAATTATATTTCAATCTGATGACTAGTGACATTATATGAATTTTCATCTATTAAACTTGATTTTTATCAAAATATTTGATTTTAAGAAATTCACTTTGTTTTAATCATGATTTTGGTGAGAAATTCGATTAAAATAGTATGATTGTGATCGATATTCAATCAGAAATAGTAAATAAAAATTATGGCCATGTTAACGTTTATACCATTGATCTGTTCGCGTGGGTAATACATTTTAATCTGATTTTTTCCACTAATTTTTTACATGATTCGAATAATTCATGTAAAAATTATTATTCTTGCAATCACTTAAAATCAATTACGGTATTAATTGATATAACAGATTATTTACCGAAAAATCCGTTATCATTGATTAGTGCCTCAACAAAACTCGATTGTCAATCTATTATTTCGTTGAATTCAGACAAAATACTGTGTGTTTAATCAGTTTTTGTGAATATTGTTACAACAAAACCAATATTAATCTGATTTCTTTTTACATGGGTAGAAGTTTTTTCACCAGCTTTTTGAAGAACTATTCAAAAGTTGATTTTTCAAAGTACCACCACTCATCAATAATGCACTAGTGCATTCAATGAAAAGCATTGGTGGAAGTAGAGTTTCAGATTAGTTTGCAGGAAACTATTAAGGACTGCTCAAAACATGTGTTCTATTGGATTACTGCTGTTGAATCTACTTTTTTTATAGTTGAAATTTCAATTTTAACATTAGAAATGAGTCTCATAGATTTAGATATGTGAAATATACTCAATCAGCACATACTTTCATGTTGTTAGGAGCGGCAAATTTATTGTGAACTGAGAATGTCATGGTCTTTCCATTCTTATAAAGAAAGCTAGAACATGGATTACTGTTCTTTTAGTTTTCTTCCCAAGTAGTTTAAAATTAACACTCGTTTCTTGTTGTTCTCATTCATAATTACTAGTAGTAGACATTCTTTTTATTAAAAAAAAAGAAATTAGTACCATCAGAAGTTTTATGAGTTGTCTGTTATTATTAAATACGAAAGATAATTTGATTGAAATTAATAATCTAAGAAAAACTATATGTCGAACAAAATAGTTTGAATTTTATTCTTTTCTTTTAATTAATATTTATAAATGAGAGTAAATGGCAACTATGCATCAAAAAAATTGTAACTTAGTATTAACTACTAAACATTTTGAAATTTTTTTTCTCTAAAATATAAGGTAGACACATTCAAAACGTTGAAATAATAATTCAGTATCTTTCTTTTTTTTATGACACAGACATATAGTTTATTGCAAGTATATACTTATTTACAATATAACAAAGAAAAAACTTATTAAGGTAACGGTACAACGACCATTCGTGGTTTTTTTAAAACAATTTGCATAAAATTTGATAGACAAGTCAATGAAATAAATGGCAATAAAGAAGGTACCATATGAAGTAGAAAAAAGAAACATTCTACTTGTATATTTTGTAATATTGTTGAAGATGTAAAAGTTATAACAAGACCATTGAATGTCAATGGAAACCAAAATACTGTATATATAACTGCGATAAAAATAAGTTGTCTAGTTAATTTATATTGTCGACGCCATAATGCTTGATGA